GACCAATTAGATACCATAATTTAATACTAATAAAGTTGAAGTTGTTATCGAGAAATATACTGTTTATTGCTAAGATCACACAAGATTTGGAAGATCTCTCATGTTTTTTGCATAACTATATGTTATTTTAAACCCAATTCGTGCCTCTATACAAACCTACCAATAACCCATAATGGAATTTTATCATGTAGAATGGATGGTGCTATAGTACCTATTACATATCGTAGAATCAGATCTGTAAATCACTGGCGCAATTTCCATTCTTGTCTCGTTCTAACGTCAGAGACATCAGATTGACTTGCGTAATACTAATTTAAAGATTCGTAATACGCGTACTATGCCAGAACGTTCTGGAAAAAAGTTGGCAGATTAATTATTCATTAATTTATTCCCCATAGATTTGCAGTTAAATCACATGCTCTCATCTGCGAATATAATTCATGAACAATGGCACTCTTATTACTGCAAAAAAATATAGATGACATTTAATATGCATATTCGAAAAAAAGAAATAATAATTTAGTCTATGCGGTTCACCTGAGTATTACATTGCTGAACTGCAAAACTTAACTAAGAAATTGAAAATTTCAGACAAAGGTTTTTTAATCCCAAACTCTTCTACACGCTTTTCATTATCAGGTGATAATCCAACAAGAAATTTTTCTTTAACATCTATATCGTCTAAATCCTTGCCAACGCTAATAGCATATAGCTTAATCATTTTAATGTATTCACTCACAGAGCTATTTCCTTGTATTGGAGATAATACTTTATCTTCTTTAGGTTCTAAGACTGGAGAGCTCAAAGGGGATGACCGATCTACCTAATTAATCATATCTCTTATAAACATATCACTATATAATTCTCTTATTATGTTTATTATTAATATTATACTATTTTTAAAATTAAAAAAATCATATTACTGACCACTGCTCCAGGTTGATGATCACTGCTCCGGATTAGTTGGATAATCAGGAAGTTAATTAATCTTATTTTTGCTATATACACCTGAATAAAAAACAAAAATAATAATGATTTAATCAATACACTTCATAGATTTTTGAGGAGGTGTGGCCCAGCAAAACTCTTCTGAACTAGTAATCCTGCTTTAGACCTGTGGGACCGCAACACTAGTGTAACATATTTTTGTCTGATGCTGGGTAATTTCTATAACACGAAGTGACCATAGATGAGAGAAACTAAATAACCCTTTTTTTCTCGTAAGCAAGCCAGCTCAAAAAGATATATTTAAAACTAATAACTTACTATATCTAGCTTTCAACTTTGTCAAGGAAGACTGGGCCTAAATTGAAGATAAGGTATTTTGGTATATTATCGTTATGGAACAAACTTATTCTGACATTAGTACTGGTAATAAAATTGAGGTACACGAATTCTTGAAGGCTTTGGGATTATTAGATAATAAAGTCGTACCCGTCAACATGGATGATGATGACAATAGCGAATCTGACATTGATAAAGAAGATAGTAATGATGAAGATAGTGATGACGATCAAGACAATTATTGGGACTGGGACCCTAGGAAAACATATACCAGATGGGATTATCAAAGACATTTTGGTGAAGATGCTTTGAAAAAACTTTATCAAGCCCGGGAAGCTCGTCAATGTTTTATCCTTCTTAGGCTATTTACCATGTGCCTTTCTAATTTATCTAAGCAAGCAAAAAATGGATTATTTGTCACGTTTTCTAGATCTAATTCATTTGGAGTATTAGAATACAATACATTATTGGATGCTCTAGCTCATCCTATAAAAGGTTTAAATCTTTTCGAATATGATGAACTCGGGTTTGATTTAATAAACAATGCAAAATTGTAACCAAGCTTCTGGCGTTTTTTGATTATTGATATAGTTTAAACCATATTCGGTCAACATGTATCAGGCATAACTATTTTTTCCCCATTCTTGAATATTGGACATGTTTAATGCATAGATTTTATTGACTAAGGCTTCGCAAGCTCGAAAAAGATCTATCTGGGTTACTGATATATCCGGATTACTGATATATTTGGATTTGAGTGATTTAATCACGAGAAAGCGAGATTTTTATTTCACTTTGACACTGCCAATTTATAAGAAAAAAAAAATATTAATATAAAAATATATCTCTCAATTGTG